TTTTGCCTAACCTCACCAAACTGTAGTAGCATCTTATATAAAAGAAGTTGTTCGAACAACATCTAGGGACATGTTATATTTACAAATTCTTACAAATTTATCTATGTACTGTAGGGAGTACATTAACCAACGAAAGGTTTTCACCCTGTCTTCGACATTGTTCTCCCACGATGCCCCTAGGCGAAAGGGACCACCATTCTTTTTCTTTCTTCAATTGTTCTGATAAGGACAAGTGGGTTGGTTAGTTTCGTCCTTCTAACTACTCAATTATATTCTCCGAAATACATAGGTAGGTTTGTAAACAAAAAATTTATAAATATAATATTCCTCTAATAACTATACCTACTAATTTTTTTCCGATATGACGAATGCACTGAGTTTTCGGTACATCTTTTACTTATAATGTGATACGTGTTTTACTTTCGATAAATTATTAATAAATAATTTATTTTAAAATGAGGAGAGAGAGTGATTTGACAAAAAAATAAAACACGTGTCACATTATGAGTGAAAAATACACCAAAAACTCAATACATCTGTGAGTAAAGGATTTCTTCAGTCAGTGGAGATAAATTATCTCCGGTGACCCCAAAACGACGTCGTTTTGGGACAGAAATTAAGGTGTTTTTATAATTCTAATTTATTGCAGGATTATATTAGTCTTTATCATTATAATTTTTTAATCTTACAATTCAAAATGATATCGTTTTGAACTTAAGGAGATATACACTTCTTTTTACAATTAGTTTAGTTAACTTAAGAGCTCTTCATCATGTTCGAGAATTTCGAAAGAAGAGAGGAGAGTGAATGGACCTCTCACTCACGGCACACATGCTATATATCTCTTTTCAGAGAGAGCATTTTAGACGATCTAAGGTTTACTGTCTCCCCAGCCCCCTTTCGGTGCACTATTGGAGAGCTTTTTTGGTTTTGGCCCGCCGCTTTCTCCATCAAAAAATAAAACTGTCAAGATTAGCCTACTGCAATTCTTATCTATTCTATGTAATTTCTTTTCTTTGAAGTGCAATGAAGAAATACTTTTCCCTACATCTATATCACCAAAATATTCTCCTATATCTACAGCCTGACGTGTAAAAATAGTTTGTACGACGCGAAAATGCTACTTCTGACTCCCATGTACTTTGCCGTCAATAATTTCCCAAGAAACAGTGTGTTGAAAGCAGGGGTTGACCTACATTGGGGGCTAGTGGTGGCCCCTGCCCCCCTTAAAATATTATTTATTTAAAAATTTTGCATATAAAAAAACTAATTCAATGGCAGGTTGTAGCATCAGACTAAACAGGTACACACAATATATAAATAGTGCTTGGTTAAATATATAACTTGTTATGTACCAATATATATATATATATATATATATATATATATATATATATATATAACTTGTTATGGCAAGCTTTACGTTGTACAAAAGTATTAGCATTGTGAATGATTACAAGATACTGTAGCTATCAACAAATAGAGATTTTCCAAGTTAAAGAAATACAAGGAGAAAAGTATTGAAGTGAAAAATGAAGATTTTGACCGGTACATGCAGAATGTAGATTTACTAGAACTATTTAAAATGAAAAAATAGAATTAGGTAGTATTTACTAGAAGTATTGACTAGAAGTTTTTTACCTATTTATGAACCGTTCAATTAGAATTAGGTTGTTAAAATGGAAAAATATTTTAAAAACTGAATTAGACCGGCTAGTTTTAGTGGTCGAACTTTAAATCAGTTATATTTAGTTTGATTATTATCTAGTTTATCTGCGATACAACAACAAATTTAATAGCTAATTGAATTCTGATTTAATGTTGAAACATTGACCAAAATGAATTGGAATGTCACTAGTTATTGAATAGACGAGTTAATATAATTTTTTTCGCCTCTCATTATAATAATTCCTGAATCCGCCACAGGTTGAAAGCTTAGTAGCACGAGTTTATGTGGTCTTTTTTGAAAAAACAAAAAAGAAATTATTCTGAACAGTTAACAATCATGGGCGATGTCGTGTTTACCTAACTAATTAATTTTCACTAACAAAAAAAAACTAATTAATTTTCTCCTCCAAATATGAATGATCCAACCTTTTCTAAAACGATATTACCAAAAAGTTCTTAATTAGATCAAAACTAGTTCATGGTGTTATTACTAAAAAAAAAAAAACTAGTTCATAGTGTTAAATTATCAACTACTTGCAGTCTAGCTAGCACTAGCACCACAAGCATGCACCTAAAACTGATATAGATTCTCTCTCTGTCCAAATTGGAAAGCTTCTTCCGTGTTAGTAGGTTTCCTTTCTAATCAGGTGTACCGCAGCCTCTCAAATGAACGCCGCCCGACGACTCGTCTACCTTGTTTGATTCTCAATCAAAACTTGAGAATGAATTATTAATAATCATGAGTTAAATATCGATATAGTATTTGTTAGAGAATAATATTAAGGGCTTAAGACAAGATTTTTTTTTGCTGACTCAAAAATGATGTGGGGTTCATTTAATTTTTTATTTCTTTTTCTTTCTTTTATGGGTTCTATTTGGTGGCTGAAGAAAAGATTTTTCCTGGAAACTAATAAATTTTTAATATAAATAATTAAAAAGGCTCTCATTCAACAGTTTAAATTTTTGGATTTAATTAATTTTTTTATATAATTTAATTAATTTTTTTATATAATATCATAGATTCGGTAATCACAAAGTCATGAGTTTGATTCTCACTGTCTTCAGAATAATATAAATCATTAAAAAAAATTCAACCTAACAGTTTAAGCTTTCGTGTTAAATTAATTTTTTATAATATTGTAAGAAGAAGGAAAAACAAATTAATATTCTTATTAGATAATTGCTGTGAATTTATCTTTTTTTAAAATTAATATTTTTGTTATATAAGCTGTCAACTTGTTTTTGTAGAATGAAAGGGAAATTGAGAGGGTCTTAAAAACACAAACAACAAAACTGATAAAAATAAAATGTATTATTGGAGTATAGCTAGATTTGTAGACGTGAGGGCTCCACAAAAAACATTGTTATTTGTATTTAATACGTAAGTAAGATATTGGTGGCAATAATGATGATGGCCAAATAGTATTTTACAAAAATCATCCTTTTTTATTATTTAATAGTGTGTTTGATAATTTTAATAATTTTATAATTTATATTTTTAGTCTTTTACGTATTTCCTAAATAATTGTTACGATTATATGCTACATTTAGCGAATATTTAACATTTAATACTCTAACTATATCAAAATGATGAAGATATCATACATCGCATAAAGAAAAACACACACACACATATATATACAATTAAATTCATTCAATTTGATATGTAATAGCCAATTAAAATTGTAAGAAAACTATTTACCAAAAAAAATAAAAAAATTTGTAAGAAAACCAGAATACCAAAAAAAAAAATTTTTTTGTAAGAAAACCCATGCAAGGCATGTGTTACTCATTAGTTAAGAAAGAAAGTTAAAATAAAGAGCCTTAATTGATTGAAAACAAAAAAGAAATGATTAAGAATTAATAGTATTGCGAAAATGAAAAAGTGATAAAATGAAGATTTATTAGGTTTTAATTAATGACGTTAGAAAGATTTGTTATTTTATTAATTATATTGATTTATGTATACTTTAGCTAAAAATGAGATCACTAGAGATACAAGAAGCGAAGGAAAATTGAAATTTACTTGGTAATTAATTCAAGAAATAAACTGATATATAGATAAGTATAGTTAATTATCTTAGATTTTTATTTTCAATATAGGTAATTATATTATCATAAATTTTTGAGTAAATACCTTTTTGGGTCCCTAACAAAAAACACGGTCCCCATTTTAATTTCTTACAAAAAAAAATTAGTCAGTTGGTCCATATTCAAAGTGTACCTATTTTAGTCCTTTTGAGGGACTAATATAGGTCTTTTTTGAAATTGTGAGGGACAGCGATTTCAACTAAATGTGTCCACTTTGAATTTGTTAGGAACCAACTGACTAATTTTTTTTTGTAAGGAACTAAAGTGGGGACCGTATTTTTTTGTTAGGGACCAAAAATGATATTTACTCTAATTTTTTTTAAAATCTGAGATATAAAATCTTTAATTTTGCTGCTCAAGCCGGCCCTTCAACATTGTAAATCCTTGGTCTTATCGTTGAACAAATTATGCCTAAAGCACTTTTGCAATTCATCCACTCAACTTGAATTTTATGCATTGCATTTCTAACTAATTTCTCCTTTGAAGTAATTACAATAATAATTAGGCTAAAATTATTAGAACAATTATATGCATGTAGTCTCAAACTTTTGGCGAAAGCTAATATTGGGAACAAAATTAGAAAAATTAAAAATAGATGGAAAATAGAGAGGACTTTGAAAAAAAATAATAAAAAAAATCGAGATATTAAGATAGACAGTTGAATTATTTTTTTTCCCTTTTTCTGTTACATTATCAATTACCATTGAAATTTCAAATCTAATCAAATTTATGATTTGAATTAAAAACTATTAATAAGGTAATATGATTAATTTCAAATAATTAAGATAAAAATAACTTAATTTAATTACGGATAAAAAAATTGAGAAGGATATACTTACCACCAAAAAAGTTTAACACCTTTAGAAATAACCTAATCACCGTTTATTTCCGTTAATATAACGGTTATAATTTATAGAAATTAATAATTAATTAATAAATGTAATTCAATAATTTTCAATAAATTATAACCGTTAGATTGATAAAAATCAACGACAATTAAATTAATTGTAAATGTGATAAATTTTTTTAACGATAAATATATCTTTCCCGGAGGATGTAGCAAAAGTGATAAGAAGGTTTAACATTTGTCTGCTTCTTGTACACTTCGAGAGAATTGTTATGCTGACTTATGCTGGGGTTGGCTATATTATATTATTGCATTGCAATTGCACACGTAGCTCCGTGACCTCACAGGAACGAGGACACCGCGTTGGTTGCGCGTATGTTTTCTATTCCAAAACGTTAACTACCTCTGGTTTTCTCTAGTCATTTCCACCCCATGTGATGTGATATATTGCAAACAGAATACAACCACAACCTTAACCTTCACAAACCACAACCTTAACCTTCACAATTTCACTTGTTTCTCACGCACTACACTTTAGTTCCCTCCCATTACGAAGCTTTTCAGAAATTCCAGCTCAAAGGCACATATACTGTTTCAAGTTTTAATTGGTTTGACAAGCTGGCGCAATTCCGCTTCAAAAGGTTCGTCTTTTCTCCATCAATGTTCACAATTCACGCCGTAAATTTCGTGGGGCAGTGTCTGTTTAAGTTTGTGTTAGAATTACGAGGCATTTGGGTCAGCTTTTGTCGCCCTTTTGACTCTTGTAACGATTGTTGACGTCTTCTTTTCATTTAAGTGTTTGGAACCGTTGAGTTTATATTTCTATAGATCATTGAATTCCTAGCACATTGCTCAAAAGGGTGTTGTGCATATATATGTGGATCTGAGAGGGTTTTGGAAATTTAATTTATTTTTATCAAGTGATCTGATGCTGATCTTAATATGGAATTTATTGGTGGGGGTTCCATAATTTTCCTAGACGAATATTTGTCTCATTTGCTTATCTGATCAGTGATCTTCATCTGGGGTAGGTCTATTCCAAGAGACAAATATTGGTGGAGCTTTGAGCAGGAGCAAGAGCTGCTGCATATACAACTCTGGCCAACTCTTTAGAGATATCTTCACCAACCGGAACAGGCTTTGGTCTTTTCTTTTCCGGTTTCCAGTTTTGTTCAGAGAGGGTTCTATCTCTTGTCCTGCCCCTTCCAACTGATTATGGCTAACGTCTGATCCAATGTGGTAGCTGCTAAACTATCAAGTAGAGATGTGAGTGGCAATAGGAATTGCAAAGGAATCAAAAGGGGAAAAGAAGATTGAATTAAAAGGATATAGAACAAGCTTCATCTTCTGTGATGGCCATGTTTAAGTGCTTCTCTGTTTTGAATGTAAGGAAGGAGAAAAACAAGGTAAAAGTCAATTGGATATTCGTGTCTTATTTTGTTTTGTGGGTTTCCTATAAACCATGTGATTAACCTGCTTTTTAGTCTCTATCTTGCTTGCTTCTTCAGGGGAATGAAAAATCTTCAAAAGAGGACTTTCACACTCTACTTGCCAAACTACAAGACCAAAGAGTATCATCCAAGACATGTGATTTGAAGCCAACCACTTTTGATGTTACAGTACCCCATGGTATCCAGAAAAATCCAAGGTCCAGTGTGAGGGTTATGAGTCTTGAGAGTCCTGTGAAGGCTGAAGTAGAGGAAGCTTATGAAGGGGAAGATGAGAAAGAAGATTTACCCTCGTTCAAGAGGGAACTCTCTGATTTTGATCTCCAAAGCCATGATGCTGTTGCAACCAAACAAGGATATGATCCCACAGATAATGAGATAAAGTATCCCCTTGTATGTGGAAACCAAGCCAACAATCAATTGGAAGATAAAAGGGATAGACACAGCGAAAAGAGTGCTGAATCTGTTGATATAATCCAAAATGGACATGTCAGTGATCCTGGGATTGGCAAGGCTGACTTCTGGGCATCTCCAAAGCTCCAGCGATCCTGCTCTAACCTTGAAAGAAGGGATGTGCTTAGGCAGATAATTCATCACTTGCCTCCATCACAGTCTTTTGAGGATTTGCAGGAATTATCAGTATATCAGATGGTTAATTTTGAAAGCCCCAGGTCTGTGATGAGTCACTGCAGTGCTGATAGAGTAATGTTGAAAAGGCATTCTTCAAGTCAAGTACTTCCTTCTGGAAGTAAAAGATTGTGGTGGAAGTTGTTCCTGTGGAGCCACAGGAATATACATAGAACAATTTCTAGCAAATCAACACTAGTTCCTTCCAGTGCTGCTTTAAGGAGTCCCTATGGGTACTCTTCAGACACCCTTGAACCAAAACAAGGCAAGGCATTGAGACATGTGGAATCATCTAATTCAGTTACTATGGAATCCTTTAACAAAGGCAGCATTGGTAAAAGTATTCATTATCAAAGGCAGAGCAGATCTCAAAATGAAAATTCAGATATTTGGCCCCAAAATCAATGGTTTGCTTTCTCAACAGAATCATCCTCCTTTGCCAGAGTGGATGCATGGGTGAAAGATCTTGATATTCAGCAACAACTTCCTGAGGATGATTTTGATGATGACAATGCCAGAAGCATTGTCTTCCCACCTTCTCCTGATGCTGGTAGATCAATGATAAGAAGTACAACTCAGTTAGCTAATTCAGATGCCAATCTTTCAAAGGAGATTTTGAATGCCAATAGTGTGGTCCAGTCTTTAAATCCAGCTTCAACTGTTGCTCACATATCGGGTATTGGCATAAAAGCCATCCCAGCTATTTCACACTTATCCAATCTCCGCTCTGTTAATTTGTCAAACAATTTCATAGGTATAACTTTGGAAGTATAACATAGCCTTAATGCAACATCAATTAATATCAACTCAATTGATTGACTCCCTTCTTCATTGATCTGCAGTACACATCTCTCCAGGATTTCTACCAAAGAGTATTCAAACACTTAATTTGTCAAGAAACAAGATCAGCTCCCTTGAGGGCCTCAGAGAATTGACCCGGTTGCGGGTATTGAACTTAAGTTACAACCGCATCTCAAGAATTGGACAAGGTTAGTTTCTATACTAGTTGATGCTCAAAGGAAGTTTACTTCTCAAATTGGTTAGCCTTCATTTTAGTGTTTTCCACATTACAATTATTCATTATGTGATTTATCAGGGTTGTCAAGTTGTACACTTATCAAAGAACTATACCTTGCTGGGAACAAGATAAGTGATGTTGAGGGGTTACACAGGCTATTGAAGCTAACAGTTCTGGACTTGAGCTTCAACAAGATCACAACAACAAAGTCATTAGGCCAGCTTGTGGCTAACTACAACTCCCTCCAAGCCCTTAATCTACTCGGAAATCCCATTCAAAGCAACATCAGTGATGACCAGCTAAGCAAAGCAGTCTGTGGTCTTCTTCCAAAGCTGGTGTACCTGAACAAGCAACCCCTCAAGGCTCAGAGGGCACGTGAAATACTCACTGATAGTGTTGCCAAAGCTGCACTTGGGAACAGCAAGCGGAGCTTAGACAGAAAATCACTAAAGAGAGTTGGCCAAGGAGGATCAAGTTCAACCAGAGGGCATAGAAGCATTTCAAGTGTTGCCCAGAAAAACATGAACAGGAAAAGAAGGTGAAATAAAAGTAGCTAGTTGCCTCTAGAAGGAAAAACTCATTAGAAAACTTTTCTTTTGGGTCTTTACAATGTTTTATTTGTTCATACCATAGAGGAAACTGTGCGCTATGCGTTGACAGTCTCTTGGTTTGTTAAGTTTTGAAGTAATGGGGTCTTCATTGTCTCCAATTTAGTGTGTGGAACTTGATATGATCATCTGGGTTTGATGAATTATATGAACATTGTGCAAATCGACTTTGCCTGTGCCAAACAATAATTGACCAGTCCGATTGCTGCTGTTGTCACAGTATCAATTTTCATTTGAAATTATCTGAATACCAAGGCATTCTGATTGTAAGTATCGAAGAACTTATAAACTCCACATTAGTTGTATATACAACTAATGTGGGACTATATATCTCAACACGCCCCCTCACACGAGAGCCCATTGGGCTTGAAGAGTGGACAATGCAACAGGCCCAGCCTACCTGTGCTAAGAAACTCCACAAGAGAAAGTGGGGGGCGGCGAGGATTGAACCCGGGACATGAGGCTCTGATACCATGTAAAGAACCTTTGATACACCACTCCAAAAGCTAGCTCAAAGGATGAGAGTGCCCAAGGCCACATTAGTTGCACATACAACCAATGTGGGACTATATATCTCAACACTGATCAATTCAAAAGAGAGACTATGACTCGCTCCGCTCATTTTGCTCAGAATATTGTTCCTGCCTTGGACTCTGCTTTGATTGCTGGATCACAACCACCTCCGTCTGTTCTCACTGAGTTCTTGCAATGGTATGAAGGGAAGCGTCCTCCTGGTACCACTCCTTTTTTTTTGTATTTTAAAATATTTAAAATATTTAATCAGCTCAGAATCTATAAAGTAAAATGAAATATGCCACGGGAAATTTCCAATACCTGTGGTAATATTTAAAGGAATTTAACTTCAAATCAATGCTGAAGAAGAGTGCTGAGAGACTTGGCTCCAAGATTGTTGTGTACCAATGGATGATGAAATGCACGTATCACACTTATTAGGAGAAGAAACAATACGACTCTCAATGACAGGAAGGAAATAAAGTTTAATTGAGTAGTTTAGAATCATCTTAGGATCCTACTTATGAAGACCACAAAAATCAACAGCCTATTTAAAGGGTTTATAATTTTCATATAATTCTTTTTTTTTGGTGCTTCTCTATTTTGGTACCAACCAATTAATATGTTGTGTGTACTTAGCTTAATAGTTTCAATTGTGAAGAGATCTAGAATTGCTAATGCAGAGCATATGGAGAAACTATTATCGTAAAAATTGATTAACATATGCTGCAACGTGATTCCAGCATAACCTGGTGTGCTCACTAACAGTGGGTTTAGTGCATTTCTTTTAGACTTAAAATATTATCTCTCTTCTAAAGGATCATATTTGAATTGTACAATTAATGTGGATTTAGGATTTTCGCGGTTGCTGGTAAATAGAATAATTGTCTAGCGGCGAAGTTTATCAAAACTCAATACAAACGAATAAGCTACCAAAATGTAATCCAGCTCCAGTACACCAGAAAGAACAAGAAGTCAGGAATTAGAAAAAGCATCAACTTAAGCAAAAACTGAAATGGCACTACAATAAGCTTTCTTTCAACAAACAGTTTATAGAAATGTCGAACTTTTAAGAGGGGGAAAGTAGATTGTAATATTATATTATTAAATAGCACAAAGGGCAGGTGTTAATGTTTTCAAAATCTAGTTTTTATGTAGGAACGGAAATAAATGGGATAAACATAAATCGTATAAATGACATGATTCTATATACAAGTCACTTTTAAAAATTCAATGAACAATTTCATATTTAAAATATATAAGTCATATAACTATATAAGACATAAGTCCAAAAATATAAAAAGAGTTTAACAACTCCTATAAATAAGTTCCAAAACATAAAAAGAATAAAGTTTAACAATTCTTAAATTAAAATACAGCGGCCTCGCGTGAGAGCTTTTTCTTCTTCAGATAACTAGAATAAGGCATTTAATTTGGAAAAATGTAAATAGGAATTTTTTATTTTATTTTTAAAAATAAAATAAAAATAAGATAATGGTAGGCTTCTATCACTTCAATAAAAACATAAATTTTTAAATTCTTTCATTAACTTTTAACAACAATGAAAGGCGTGCACAAAATAAAGACAATTGAAAAATAAAAACTTCCGAGAATGTAAATAGGAAGTGCAAATAGGAATTGGGGAAATGTAAATAGGAAGTAAAAACTTCCTTGGGGAGATGTAAATAGAAATTTTTTATTTTATTTTTAAAATAAAACAAAAATAAGACAATGGTAGGCTTCTATCACTCCAGTAAAAAATTATAAATTTTTAAGTTTTTACATTACATTTTGACAACAATCATAGACGTGCACAAAATTAAGGGAATTGAAAAATAAAAACCTCCGACCTGCCGGATTCGAACCAGCGACCTAAGGATAGCTATTTGATAATGTACCAACTACAGTCCTCCGCTCTACCAACTGAGCTAAGGTCGGTTGCTTTTGATGAGGACAATAAAATATATCTGATAGTATATAAAAGTTAATGTGTAAGATATCTCAATAAAGGCAAATTTAGTATCACGTGCCTACTTTTATGAAAAGTTGCATCGAATGACGTAAAGAAAAAAATCTTCAAAATTAGAATATCTTCACCTCTTCGTGTTAATGTCATTTTTTGTGTAAATTTAAAAATAAGTCAATAACATTAAACATAATATCACGTACCTACTTATCTTACAAGTTACATCCAATGCGCAAAGAAAATTTTTAATATTAGAATCTTTTTTCTTTTTTGGTTAATATTAGAATGTCTTTGCCCCTTCATGTTCAATTTTGTGTGTAAATTTCATCATAAATCAATAATGTCGAATTCAATATCACATGCCTACCTATCTTACATGTTACGTCCAATGACGTAAAGAAAAATTTTAATATTTGAATTTCCTTTTTTTTTTTTGGTGAAAATATTTGAATTTCTTTACCTCTTCATTTTAATCTAATTTTTTGGGTAAATTTCAAAGTCATTTAAGAAGCTCTAAGATTTGATTTTCCTGTGTAATAAGACCATTACGCTTCTTCTTATTATTATAAGGATTAGTCCAACACCAACTGGGCTGGATCTAACCACACACGATTGAGATAGCTGAAAGTTGATGAAGAGAAGGAGAATGTGGATATAGTTGTTGTGCTACTAGATGTCCTTGCGAGATAGGACAGAGTGTTGGCGAGATTGACCCAAGGTTCACCAAGATCTTCTGGATGATTGATGAGCAAATGGAGCGGGTACCTGCAATGACACTCTGATGCTCAAGTCAGTTTCACTCTAAGGAGTTCTTAATATTCAAAGTGTGATATCATACCTAGGCTAACTATGTATTTATAGCAGTTGTGTGCCTTATTTGTCCCGTCCTTTCATTAGGCGTCATTCATGTTGATTGGTCGAGAATGATGGTCTTTCTCAGGCTATTCCTTAAGGTGGTGTTTGGCTGGGGTCTTTCCAAAATTTTTCTAGACAAGTGAGAGAAAGATTCCAGAATAGAAGTGTTTGGTTGAGTAGATTCAGGCAAAAAGCCAGTCATCCAAAATGCATAGGGTTTTCAATTTAAATGGAAAAGCCAGCTTTTGGTACTGTTTGAAAAGCTTTTTCATATGTGGTTTTTTGAAAAACCAGCACGAATCGGTTTTTTGAAATGCTTTCCGTCTTTAATAAATGAGATTCTGAAGTAGAACAACAAGACAATGAGAGACAGAACTCTCTCAACTTGTGTTTCTCTCTCTTAGAAACATAGGGTTATTTTAGTAATTTAAGATTGTTTTCCCATCTATATCTCACCTCCAACCAAACATACATTACCTAAAATTTACCTAATTTTCCCAGTAAAGTTTTTCCCCACCAAACACCTTTTTTTAACATTTTCCTATCTATCTCACTTTATCTAACTTCCTTACCATTTTTCTATCAATTCTATTTCCCTACTATTCAAAAAATTTCTCCTCAACCAAACGTCCCCTAAGAGGCAAGCCTTTAGATTAATAAGTATGGTGGCAAGCTAGAGCTGCCAATGATTCATTCGCCTTTAGAAGTGGTTAACTTATCTGAGCTGCTGATGAGCTACTGACTCCCATAATGATGATTTCTTATAGACTAAGTATTACTGACTTGGTGGCCAAGCATATGCAAGATGGGTGTTTATCTCACTATATAGGTTGTCTCGGGATATGTCGCCATAGTACAACTAAGCAGCTAAGGGTGAAACTGGGCTGGCCCGGTCTACAGGGACCTACAGCTCGGCCTATGTTAGGCTAGACCTGACCTAGTATATTTCATAAAATAGGCCGGACTTGAGCCTTGAAAAAGCTTGTTTAATAAAAAGGCCATGGACCCACTTTCATAAGGCCTGACCTATAAGCCTTCAGACCGGTCTATATTGTACAATTTTTTTAAAATGAAATAAAATAAAATAGAATAAGTATGCCTTGAAGAAAAAACAAAAAATATAAATTAATCAATTGCAATTATTTAAAACTTAATTATATTCGATTATATTTTAATCGAAATCTGGCTCTATTTTTTATGTAGGAGGAATCAACATCTCAACATATTAGATTGAGTATATGAATATATTAAAAGTTTTTTGAGAGAGGTTATACTTACTACAAATATCATGATGTGTTTGTAGGATTCATGTAGTTATTTTAATTTACATAGTATGAATTTGTTTGTTGGATATGATGAAATGTATGTTATTTAGTTTGAGTATTTTGCTTTTGAAAGTGACTTAAATGCTGATTGTACGAGTTTTGTTGTAATTCATGATTCTGTTTGGACGTTGAAATTATAATTTTTGGATTAGCAACATAATTTGAGTATTTTGTAAAGTTAATTCATGATTCTGCTTGGAAGTTAAATTTTAACATGCTAATGGGCTAAGCTAGGCCATTTGTTTTTTAATAAACGGGCCAAATCAGGCTAACAGTTGAACTCGTACTAAGCTTGAACCAGGCCAAATTAAAATTTTTTGCCATAGACATGAACTTTTCGGGACAAAGCTTGACTCAATCCAGTTCACTTTCACCCTATAAGCAACTAACGAAGGCTTGGGCATTTTGGGCCTTTCCTTTATTGTGCCTTGCCTTTTCTTATGTGGGTCTAGATCAATATTAAAGTTAAAAATAACTGCGACATCAAATAAGAGGAATTTATTTATTAAATAACATAGATAGATTATTATTTCTTTTGGGTAGGTAGATAGATTATTTTTAGGTTAAGAGTTAACTTAAAAATAAAAATAATATAACAAAAAATTGAAATTTAAAAATAATAAATTGATAAGTTAATTTCCTATTCATTTAATTATTATATAATAAAATACTTCTCATGTAATTTTAAATTTTTGTTTAAGGAAAAGATAAAAGATATATTATTTCTAAAAGTATGGAAAGAAAAAATGTTACAAAATCTCATTTTATCTTGGCCAAATTCCAAAAACAAATTTATCAATGACTATGTCCAACCAGAAGTCTTGTACATTCTACACAGAACTGATGAAGAATGTGATTTTGATTTCACATTTATAAACATTGGCAAACTAACAATTACAGTTTTGCCGAGCTTATACAAGAGACATCAAAGAACGTCTAAAATGATAGCATAAAAAATATTCAATAATATAAGGGGAAATTGACTGCAGAGCATTTTATACACCACAGCAAACAGCAATAACTTACTCTATCATCATCTTCCGAATCTTAATATTGTGTTTTTGTAACTCTAATCAGACATTACATGCAAAAGTAAATCTACAAGTATACTTTCTCATCTGGTCTGCAGCTTGTTTGGTAATTACATGACCCTATGTACACCTTATGGCTACATAGGAGATGAGGTGATATCATTGACAAGGATACACTATTTTCCTCTATTGCTTTTTTGGCTTCCTTTCTGTCCAAAATTTTCAATCCCCACTTTGTATGGGGGAGCTTTATGATAATAAATGAACATTATGGAAATGAATATATGTATATTATGGTCTAATTTATTCAGGCCATCAATTAATTAGCTTGCCTGTCTCTTAAAGAAAGGTTTCTGGCAGATCAGGAGTCTCTGATCGCTGTCACTTTCAATTTCTATCACTCGTGCATCCCACTTCAGCTGTGTTGTTAAAGCTCTAGCTGATTCTATTAAAGGAACTGTGTCACGAATTATAATCCAACCCTGCACACATGACCAATGTCAGCATATCGGAAGTCCTTGAACATAACTCAAAAGGGATGAAACATTTTGAGGCATTTTTACCTTCTGTTGTTACCAAAGAAAACAAAAAGTCTAGCATGATAATACAGAGCAGACTCAGCAACTGCACACAATAGAAGGGCTGCCTAATGCAAACACACATTTTACAGAACAAACTACATGACACATTAATACACTGCTTAGCAAATCCTGTAGCAGTTTTGGTTCAACAGAAATTAAATGTCCAAAAGGTAATTTTAAAAGATGATTTAGAAAGCAACCTTCATCAGGATATCGGATGGACATAAATAACTTTTTTTGCCAGCATAAAATAGAGGCCACAAAATCCTGTTGTTCAACACATTTAGAAAGGACAAAAATTACTTCTTATGCAATTCACAAATTAATGCATATTCAGTGACGTTGTCTAGTGCTTGGAGATAAAATTTACAACTTCCTGTAGTCCTCCACAATATCAATATCCTGCAACTTTACAATCATATTATATTATGTACTCATGTCCAGTGATGCTCAACCTGTTTTGTTGTTTGAAGCTATTATATTTTTATGCCTCATAACAACATACCCTCAATCACTTAAAATTACTTATCTCAGGAAACAAGGTGTATATATATAAAAAAAAAAAGTGGAGAGAAAGGACGATGGATGAAGAGTAAAGTCCACAAAACAGTTTTAAGTTCATATACCTCTGGGCGAAGTAACCTGTCAATTTCAATGAACAGATCAAGCATGGTGCATCTGCGCTGCTGAGCAGTTTCAAGGGATAGAAGTCCTGCTGCATGCACCAAGTCATAGGTTCTAGGATATGTTGGAAAGGCCTCACACCTAGAAGCCACCAAAAACCATAATTGTAAGAAAACTATGATCTGTGTAGGACCTAGCAACTAATCTTCACATGGAAAAATAAACGTTAAATCACCATGTTTTAATTTCTTGTCGACTGTGGTAAACAGTCTGACACATTCTTGAGCAAATATATTTATATATTTCCCTTTGCCTTTGCGACAGGTGTTACAATAAACTTGATTTCATGCAATTCCATAATTCTAGAGTTACTATGGTAAAAATGAGTTCACTGGGGAATCTGTAATTTATGTTGCAAAACTTCAGTGTGTATAAGCTTCACTATTTATTAATTTCTTACAACTTTATTACCATATTTGTTTTACAAATGTCAAAGATCTCAAATCTTCATGTCCCCAAACTCACAAATTGAGTGAGTTCACAAAAGTGTGATTGTCATATACACCCACTGAAAAAGAGTTAGACTCAACAAACCATTGTTTAGATTTTACCAAAAAGAAAGAAAGAAAGAATTTAGCATACACCAGAGAATCCGCATTAAGCCAAGGAAAACAAACTGATGAAAGCAAAGAATCATGACATTCAGAAATAAGAACAAGAGAAAGGAGATTAAAATACCAATCATGCAAAACGCCAACGAAACCTCTGTCCAGTATCAAGGGAAGATGGTTGGGTCCACTTACTGGGACCACATTCATGATCCACACAGACTTTCTAGCTTGCAACAATGCAGAATTAAAACCACCAAAATGAGCATTCATGTCTAGCACATTTCTGAATATGTTGTAAGGTGGTGAAGGGTCCTCTTCACCAGGCCTCTTCGGATGATCAGAAAATATTAAAGGTGACATGAGCGACCAATAATTATGAACTGCAGTTCTCCAGCTGTCAGAGTCCTCAGCAAATTCATCAGACTGCAACCCTGGCACATTTAAATATGGACATACTAAACCAAGTGAATAGAAGATTTGATTTAGTAAGACAGTACAATTACAATGCAATCACTTCCACGAAGAGCTCTAAAAATCAATGTTGAAAGAACATTACAATTACCATAGATTGCTAGCTCGTTCTTGTTCAAGTTAGCACGGGAAGGCCATGTTTTCCTTTGTTCAATTGAAATCCAACGGCTGCTGTGTGTTCCTCCAATACAGTTTTCCAGTTCTCGATAATATGGAGACTCCACATCATGACCTTTACCACACAAAGAAGGGCCAGAACCAGGCTTTCTGGTAGTAAAAACAGGTAATGCTAAGAACCAAAGGCCCCATTAATTTAGTGGTAAACCAACGTATATACGTGGTATAGAATCTATTTACAAGAAATCTGTTATATACAAAAAGTGAAATATTTTTTCATAAGTACATGTAAGGCAGCATTACCTTGAAGTATAGCAACTCTTTTTACTAGTTTTCTTCCATACAACAGTTTCATCTTGCTGTGACAACATTTCCCAGCACAGATTTTTTGTAAAATCATGTACAAACTTCCACCTTATTTGATTCTCTTTGTTACGAGCATTTGTAAGCGGTGATGTCCAGACAAAGTATCCACCAGGTTTCAAAAGTCTATCAGCTTCAATTAAGAGAATGCCATCTGTACCATGTAACATGAATTTTGATAAGATCACAATTTGGTAAAATATTAATAATTTTTTTACATAAATCAAAGTTATGGTTCTGAAGACAGATCAAAATTTTCAGATTTCAAGTTCAAACATAAAAAAAGGAGGATATTCACACAGAATAAGGGCAGTTTGAAGGATAAGCTGTTAAGAATGGTATGGGGGAGTCCAAAACCTTTCCAAAGGATTCTTCTACCAATAGAGCAAATGATAGACCACAATAAGTGGGCCGACACCATATCTTAATCCAAAACCTTAAGGATGCAGGTCTATGGGTCTTTTGCACTTATATGGTCCTCACTTGATCTATTCCTAGCCATTGTGGGACTTACTTCACCACTACTCAAACTTGATTATTTCCAACATAAGCTTCACTGCCTTCAGACAGATATCAGAAGGAAGACTTTCAAAGTTAACCCTAGTTTGTTGGATACTTCACCAAGTATGGCAAATAAACAATAAAAGGTATCTCCTTATTTTGCCTAAAGTATGTTAACATCAGCAGCTTGAAGATGGATGCATTATGTCATATTGACTGAAGTATATCTCAAGATATTCTGCTAAACAAAGAGGAGGCCCATTTCCAATCACTGATGATCAATTTTCTCAATGAACTTAACAGCCCAAGATAACATGAGAAAAAGAGATAATAATTACAATATATCTTGACTTTGGCAGTAAAAGAATTAATAAGCTATTTAAAGGGGAAATGAAACAGAAAGCAAAATAATACATGTAACTTTGGGAAACTCCCTGTAACAAAGAACTAAATATGGATATATTTCCCAAAGTGTACACCATATAATTTTTCTTAATTCTGCATTGCAGAAACATTGTCAGTTTGTTACATCAGAAACAAATAGGTAATTCACACCATGACTTATAGGTATTCCAGAGAGAAGTTTTTTAATTCAAGTGATATATATGGTCAGAAACACACATTTCTTATCAAAATGGGAAAGGGCCAGATATTAAGCTTAGTGGAAAGGACCAGAAACAATATAGAAGCTCATCTAACTGCCTATTTTTCCTTGGTTCCAAAAGAGTGTTGAATGTCTAAGCTCAATAGGGAAAAATTACAACACCATTAAGATGTAGCAAATAAAGTATACTCTAAGAAATGAGATAGCCAGCCCTCATGGTTCTACATCCACGGCATATAAAAAAGCCAAAGCATACATTCAAGAACCAAAAAGTGGATGTTATTCTTATTTGAAGAGAACTAATTTCTTCTTCCAATGATGTATAATGTATGGTGTATCATCTAAATAATGCAGAAAAGAAATGTTTTTGTTGAATAAGTAAAAAAAATGATAGAAGCATGTCGACCCAACAGAAATAGCAGAGATTGAGATTGAAATTGAAAGATACCTTTCTGGTCCCAATCAATGCCACATCTTGCGCAATGTAACATATCAAACGATAGAGATGGATATGGCAACTGTTTTGAAGTGAAAGAAGCAATCATAGCAGGAAGACCCCTCTCGAGAGTGAGCTGAACTTGACTGCCAGAAGGCTCATAGTTTGCAATGCACATAGTTAAAAGTTGACTGTGAAAAAGGTGCGCTCCAAAGCTACCATAGCCACAACCAATGTCTAGTATAGTTCGAACCTGCAAATTTAAGGATGCCAACATGCTCAATCCAAAAGCATTACAGGCAAAGAATATCACACTCAAAATTTAAGAACTCAGTCCATATTCAATGCCACCATAACCATCCAAATATCTAACACAAGACCCTCCAAGGCACTTTCAAACAAACAATTCTAGAAGTTAACTTAAGACATATACAAGGTTACCATTTCATACGGTGAAGATTAGAATATTCATTTGATCATTTAATGAAGATACCATCAGGATAGTTAAGACAATATTTTTATTACTATTATTAGGGTGAGCTTAAAGTCAATGGGGATACCCACTCCTTTATCACAACTAAGTAGTAAAATAAATGGCGTTAAGTATGCTGAATTCTACAGTGAAAAAGTACCAAATCAGTCAAATATAAGAATAATGGATAAGGGCCACCATAAAAAACAAATAAATAAGCAACAGACATCCAATGTGCCAATTTCAGTGGAAAGCACAAATATATTTACCCCAGCTTGTATGAAGTTAGATTCATTTCTAAGTCCAATCATTTCAGCAATTTGATGTGAGTAGTCTTCCACACCATCAAACATGAGAGAGGCAGAACGAAAGGAAATTTGCTCATCATCCAGCATCATCATCCTGTAATTACAAATGAAAACTTTAGGAAGAACAAGATAGCCGAAAGTGCAACAGCTAGAAGGAGAGATGCATGTTACTTACCTCTTGGTCAAGCTTCCAGAAGAAAGAACCTCTTGTGCAGTGATTTTGACATTAGCAACCCAGATAACATCTCTTCCAGTAGGCCACCTAAGAGGAATTTTGTAATTCACTGGTGGAAGAGCCAAACAGTTTTGTCTGTGCTCATGGCCGCATTGCCGATCAAACTCATTGCCATCCATAGCCACATTCTCAGAAACATTAAAGCAAGGAACAAAGTTTTCCAACTCATGAGAACAGAATTCCAATTCTCTCAACCTCGAGGGACCACGAGAAAACTCGCCAATGTCCAACAGGTCTGACACAAGCTTTTCTTGGAGTCTTCTATAACCATGGTGAATGTGACCTCTTGATGAGGATGAAATCGATATCGACCACCAAAAGGATCCAGTAAGAGCAAGAATAACTATAAACACTAAAATAAACTTCAAAAAAAGCAACATCAACTTAAGCCGGCTTCGCGGGGTGCCAACAATCAAAGCATCAGAAGCGAAACCATTCTCAGAGATGCCATTGCCATTGCCATATTTAGAATGAGAATTATCTGCAAAAGGCAACCTCAAAGGGAACAACCTCAGTGTTAGAGGTCTATGATCTGAAGAAACTCTCTTATCAAAATCTTCCTTTTCTACTTTATCTTTGGATTGGGAGTCCCACAAGTCATGTTTGCTGTCAGGGACCCGAACCCCAGATACACCTCGCTGCAGAGGCCTTGGCATTCTTTGACCAACCAAAACAGTTGAACAAACAAGTTCAACTATAAATGTTATTACTATGTGAACACACTAAGAAAACCAATTGAAGAGTGTTATTCCAACAACATCATTAATCCAGCTCCAGATGAACAAATGCAAACCTACAATAAAAGAAAAAAAAGAAAAAAGAAAAGAAAAAGGAGATACCGTGTCAAACTTGAAGGTGTGCAATTAGGACATAGAAGTTAGAAAACCAATTCCGCATTATTAAAGAAAAAAAACAAAGGCACGGACTTTTTCTCTGTAGGGAATCAAAAACAGGGTAATGACGACAAGTTAGAGCATTAACTAATTCACCGCATCAGATCCATCATGGACCCAGTAATGAAATGGATAAGTACCAACAATCATAAAAATAAAAAATAAATGAGGAAACTTGAGCGGTAATTGCAAGTGTAAAGTATATGGGTTGGTGGGTCACATAACACTAACAGCGCAGACTTGCAGCTAGCTAGAGAAATCACTAGCTACTAACTAAAACACAAGCTTATTTTCTTTTCTTCTTCATTGGGAATCCCAAAGGAAAACCCATTTGTTACTTGCGATCAAAACGGAAAACGAGAGAGATGATAAACGAAAAAGGATAGTAGTACCTCCTTGTTTGTTTGGGGGGCAGTGATGGAGAAGAAGAAGAAGAAAAAAAGTTGTGATGAAAAGTGGAACGAAGAAAAAAACAAGGGAGGGTGAAGGAATCCCGAGAAATGAGTGTCAAAATTTATGGGGTGGTGTTGTTGGTTGCTTGCAACACAAATTACAACAGCAGGTCACGCTGTTACTGGCTTTGGTTTTTGGTTTTACTGTGTCGATCAGTGATTCTTCTTTCTCACTCACTTCATCGAATGATTACCGTGCTTTGGAAATTAGAGAGAGAGAGAGAGAGAGAGAGACACTGATCCTACGAGCATGAGCAAGCAGATTTTGTACTGAATCACTGATCCGATCGTGACACAGACACTGCTTTCACCACAGTATAATATTAATAATTTGGAAAACAAAATAAGACACCGCTCGTGAAGAATCAAATTAAAAGGAATATGTTATTTTATTTATTTTTTTATGTTTATTTTATTTATTAATTTTTAATATTATTATATCAAAGTTTTAAAAAGAAAAAGAAACAATAAAGATTAGACGAGATTCTAATATAATAATCTTAAAGAATGGTAGATAAAGTTAACTTAAAAAAGGTAGATAAAGTTAACTTAAAAAAGTAGATAAAATAATTTATCCTAATTAATAATATTTTCCCTTTTTATAGTTCTAAAGCTTTTTTTTTTTTTGGTATAATTCTAAAGTTTCTTAACAATGTTGCCCAACTACTTATAAAAAAGAGTTATATTTATCTCATTTTATAAGAGAAAAATAATTTTTTTATACACACAAAAAAAGGTGGATCCCACCACTCTTTTATTCTCTTTTCTCTTACATGTGAGTCTCACTTGTAATTTTATTTCTACAATATGAGGTAACTATTTTCCTATGACATAAGAAAAATATTTTCCATAAAAAAATAATAATTATTTATAAATTTTTTATAAAGTCAATATTAAAGTTCAGTAGGTAGAATCAGTGTTGTTAAACCCGACCCCGGGCATCGACCCGGTCGGGGTACTAGATCACTGGGTCACTAGTCGGACCAGTTGACCCGGATACGTATAGATATATAAAAAAGAAGAAGGATCCGTTTACAAACTTTTTTGAATTTTTTTTACAAATTACACTATGCTCTCCAGGGAAAACATAGTGTAGTTTGTAAGAGTTTGTAAACAAAAAAGTTTGTAAATATAACCTGCCCCTATGAAAAATATAAATAAATATGAACATATAAATTCAATTATATTCTCTATATCTAAAATGAATTAAACAAGGTTCACTAAATAAGCTAAAAAAACATGAAGCATAAATAAATAAAAGTGCATATTATTACTATGTCAATTTAAATTGCAACTCAGAATTCTCATAAACATACATCTCAATGACATTGAACTCATATTTTTCAAATTTAACTACATTAAAATGACATATGTAATATTCTATAATTTATTATTCCACAAATTGCTTCAGTATTGGAAAGTAAGAGGTCATTGTAGAAGAGTATACTAACAAATAAAATTAGAATTTTTTTTTTAAAATGAGTTATATATTGTTTTTATAAGATGAAACAATTTTGGTTTTTTTTTTAAATGAATGACCGGACCGGGTCACTGGGTCACCGAGTTTGGTCGAGTTTGACCGGGTCGATACATGATCGGTCCAATGCATAATTCAAACCGATCTGATGACCGATTCATCGAGTTCCGAGTCGACCCAGCCGGATTGTACAACAGTGGGTAAAATTGCATAGTGATGATTTTAATTTTTAAAAGTCCATGTAAGAGACTACCATGAATAGCAGTAATAATTTCTGCCTCAAAAAGAAATGGTAGTAATAATTGATAAGTATCGTTATCGTATGAGTAAATAAACTGTTATTATTAGAACTAATAAATGAACGCGCTTAGCTCTACTGGCACAGGCAGAGTTCCATTCGAACCCCACCATGATTTTCCCACTTCATTTTTATTTAGTCATCCATATTCCATATTAATTCCCTGCACTCTGAGGAAGTGAATTATGATTCATGAACCGAACAGAATAGGATAGAAAGGGACATAAAAGGGAACCCGAATTAATCTCCACTAATTGTGTCCTGCGGAATAGAACGTGTATTGATCTAAATGCCACAAGACCCTTTTCTTATTTGGGTATATTTATGATTTTATAAGGAATAAACGCCAGTTTGTCGAGCTAACAAGGCATAAAAGAAGTGGAAAGCGGGTAATTTTTTTTTAAAGTTACTATAAGAATGGGAAGCGAAATGGTACATCTAAAGAGTAAGAGAAGCATAAATAGAAGAATTTTTTTTTTTTACCAAATAATGGTAGTTTAGTTGGTACATTAAAGATGAATAGGTGAGGGTGAGACGTGAAAGTACATATTCAATTTTACCCAATATCATTTTTAAAATAAATTTAAAATCTTAATCCTAAATTCGTTCTCAACAGAATATTTTTCGCAGAGGACACATGGTTTATAAAAAAAATTCTTTGCTTATTCGTTGATGGGAATGCAACAAGCCATTTTGACTTGAGCCTGAAATGGTGCATACTGGCCCACACCTTAGTATATTAGCTACTATCATTTAATTATTTTAATAAATGAAACAATTGGGGCACATTCATATTCAAATCCGCATTCAAGTATGAGGTTACGCCGGATTCACGATTGCTCATTAAATAATTTTTGCACACATTTGGGGTGGTTAGGTTTGGCACAAACCCACATATGTATTTGGTTAGGAATTTTACCCAATTTCATTTGGAGCTCTATCTGTTCGGTTAAAACTCATTAAGCTACAGGGAAAGGAAAGAAAACCTTTGACTTTTCTTATCGTTATGATGAAATATGGTTGTTGATGAGATGAGATGATTAAACGTTGGGCAAATGTTTTAAACATTATAGAAAACCGGCGGCTCGGACCGCTCGGTAATGGTGTTTGTTGTAACGCCTGGCAAGATGCAAGGATCAACGACTGTCCTCACACATTAACACGAGACTTTTCAGCGTGCTTTATCCTTACTCGCACACTTCTCGGGAAAACTTCCCAAGAGGTCACCCATCCCTGAATTGCTCCAAATCAAGCACGCTTAACTATGAAGTTCTTCCGATCCGGGCTACCGAAAAGTAGATGCATCTTGTTAGTATAGGTAGTACCAATTAATTCTTATAAGTCATTCCCAACTGTACCGTCCCATACCAGCACAGTCTCTGGAATCCCTCTCTTTCGGGTGTTGATTCGATCCATTCATGTACCCCCGTCCCTAGAAGCCTGCCAGGAGCCGCTCCTTGTCCGTGCCCTTACGCACCGGCGATCACTCCCCGCCCTCGTCAGCGCCCGGGAGGTTACATTTGTAGATTAAGTTCAATCAGTTTTAAGAGAAAAGATTGATCTAATTTAATTGGTTTTTGAGAATATTATTTCATTTGTTTAATCTAAAATGTAAATATGATCAAATTTAAATTGATTTTGACTAAAAAGATTTCTTTGATTTTTTAACTACATAATTTGATTATAGTGTAAAATTTTAATTTTATTAAAATATGAGGTAGAATATTCTTATTACCAATTTTTTCTACTACCACTCTAATCACCATTGGAGGTTGAGATATATAGTCTCACACTGGTGGTATGTGAAACTAATGTGGAGTTTATAAGGCCTTGGGCACTCCCACCCTTTGAGCTAGCTTTTGGGGTGATATATAGTCTCACATTGGTTGTATGTGGAACTAATGTAGAGTTTATAAGGCCTTGAGCATCCCACCCTTTGAGCTAACTTTTGGGGTGGTGTATCCCAAGGTTCTTTACTATGGTATCATAGCCTCGCCGCCCCCCACTTTCTCTTGTGGAGTTTCTTAGCACAGATAGGCTGGGCCTGTTGCATTGTCCACTCTTCAAGCCCAATGGGCTCTCGTGTGAGGGGACGTGTTGAGATATATAGTCCTACATTAGTTGTATGTGGAACTAGTGTGGAGTTTATAAGGCCTTGAGCACTCCCACTCTCTGAGCTAGCTTTTGGGGTGATGTATCCCAAGGTTATGGTATCAGAGCTTGATTGACTATAAGGTCACAAGTTATATAGTCACAAGTTCGATTTGGGGTGATGTATCCCAAGGTTATGGTATCAGAGCTTGATTGACTATAAGGTCACAAGTTATATAGTCACAAGCTTGAGTGACTATAAGGTCACAAGTTATATATATAGTCACAAGTTGATCCTCACGGCCCCCTACTTTCAAGTGGAATTAAAGTAAAAAGCACAAAAAGGTAAACCAAAATTTAGGCATGTGCAATTCCACGCTTCTAGCCCAAAGAGCTCTTGCGTGAGAGGGCGTGTTGAGATATATAGTCCCACATTGATTGTGTG